TTAGACTTACTAACCCACGCAACTTTGTCTGCATCACACTTACTTAACATTCATCATTATTTTCGCTCTATTTACATAATATCTTATGAAATTATAGCCTATATGTTACTCTGATGTATAAGCTATATTACTGTAAAGTTTCAACAAAATTCGTACGGTAGTTTTTGCGGAACAGAGTAACAAGCATCCAATCATACACTCAAATTTCTGCGTTTATAATATTAATACGAGTAAGATTTGTATATATCACACTATCTAATTGCCCTGGCTTCGCACGGGTGTACATGTATTATATATATAAACCCTCCTCAAGAATAACTATTTAAAAAGACAAAAACTGGAAAATCCTTTGCGTAGTTTTAAAGATTTAAGCATACATAGGGACCGACAGACAGCGACAGCGACTTTATTTTATACTATGTAACTAGCTACTCGCCCCGGCTTCGCTCGGATGTACATGATACATATAAACCATCCTCTTGAATCACTCTTTCTTTTAAAAAAAACGCTTCAAAATCCTTTGCGTAGTTTTAAAGATTTAAACATAGATAAGGACGGACAGACAGCGACAGCGACTTTATTTTATACTATGTAATAATGAAGATAAGTATATACTTGCGAAGGCAAAGATGGAGAAAAAAAATTGCGTTAACATAGACGTAATATCTAATAACAATGGAGAGGGACGTCATAAATGTCATCTGTTTGTGACATGTTTACAGTCTGGTAATTGAAAACTATCATTAGCAGGGACAATACGTATTATTGGGAAGTTTCAGAAATGATACGTCGATACAGTAGTACATTTAGTTTATTACTTCTTAATAATGAAGATAAATTGCGTATATACATTCACGACTGGTCGTCTCGGTCGGAGAAAAAGAGGGCAGCCCGTCCTTCCTTGTTCCCGGTCTTTATCTCTATTCCTATTGGTGGCGGCATAATCGTGACGCCACCAACTTCACGTGACTTACTATGGCTTTTAATGAATGAAATGTAAGTAACAAATTAGTCAACCGAGTGTTCTTTAGGTATTGAAGCTAACAGTATGTATTGTTTATTCAGATTTTTCTATGTTACTAGCTACTCGCCCCGGCTTCGCACGGGTGTACATGTATTATATATATAAACCATCCTCTTATGTATTAAAAAAACCACTGCAAAATTGTTTCTTATTGATTACATTTGCACCGCCTACAATTTATCTCTGCACAACCTGTGGTTGACTGGTAGAAAATACCGTAAGGCGTTAAGTCCGCCATATGTACTTTTTCCTTGGTATTTTGTGTATTGAAGTTATATAAATATAAAAATAAAATCCGTTGCGTAGTTTTAAAATTTTAAGCATACGTAGGGACGGACAGACAGCGATAGCGACTTTGTTTTATACTATGTAATTGGAATGGCAAACACGCTGACGGCCTGCCTGATGGTAACTATTAATAATAATAATAATAATAACTAGCTGTTCCCGCGACTTCGTCTATGTTGAATTTAACTTTATTTTTCTAAAATAAATGTAGCCTCAGTTACTCCTTATACTGATGTACAGTTACTTGCCAAAAAAAGTCCAGTTAAAATCGGTCCAGCCATTTCAGATATTAGCCGGAACAAACAGACAGACAAAAATTGTAAAAAATGTTATTTTGGTGTGTGTAGCGTATTTATATTCATATGCATGTAGTAAAAAACGTTTATTTCAATATTACAAACAGACACTCTAATTTTATTTATATGTATAGATTGGAATGGCAGACAAGCTGACGGCCCGCCTGATGGTAAACATTTTTGCAACATTTTTCACTGATGCTTCGCTCCTATTGGTCGTAGCGTAATGCTATATAGCTTGGCCCGCCTGATGGTAATCCTGTCATCATGATTGACTTTTTTACTTGGGTTATTAACTGATAGACAGTTTCGGCTTGTCACGAGTTTGTGTGTTTATTATGTAGTATATTTATATTAACTGCAACGTTCAGCTATGGTTATGAGGTCATATGACCATATGTCGCAATATACAATATCATATTTATTTGCTGACTCTCGTTACATTGACCTTAATCGTGAGTTCGATTCTCGCTGTGTTGCCTACGTAACGAGTTACATTTAAATGTATTTAGCACTACCTTCCTCAATGTATGACGTTATATTTACGATTCTCGGATTTGTTTGGTTTGTTGTCGGTGTTTTCCATCACCGGAGTGTTAACACTATTTTTGTGTCAGTCAGACTTAAAACTCAAGAATGTTTTACCTACAAAGTAATGAGTGAGGAAAGATGAGGAATCGAACCCGTGACATCGGAAATAAAGCGGTTTGCTAAACTGCTAGACCACCGAGGCCGAAAAAAAAGTGAATTCTATGATTTAGCACAATTAATTAGAATAATATCAATAAATAGAAGTAAAACGAATCAAAGGAAGTAGAGTAAAAGATATATCTTATCATAGATATATATTATTCACATTTATATGTAATGTTACTCATAGTAGTAATCATCAGAAAAACATCGACGGCCTCAGTGGTGTAGCGGTTTGGCATACCGCTTTATTTCCGATGGTCACAGGTTCGATTCCTCACACGATCAAACATTTGTATTAATGCATCTAATTGTATTGGTCTGGGTGTTAGTAATTATCACAAGAGCATTGGCAATCGGTTTAGCACGACGCTTTATTTCCGTCGCGGGTTCGAATTCGCACAAACATTTGTATTCATGAGTTGGATTTTTTTATATTTGTCTGGGTGGTTTCTATGTATATAATATACATAGATACATATATGTATTTACAAAAAAATTGTGTGTACTTATATCAGTTGTCTAGTACCCATAACACGAGCTCTGCTGACCGTGGGACTAGATGACGTTGTGTGAATTATTATTATGACTTATTCTGTCTAGAACGGTGATGCATGAGTGGCATCACGGGCATCACATGATTACGTGGTAGCCGAGATGCTGTTAATTTATATATGATGTCAGTTTGTTCGCCATACCAATTAAAAAAAAAAGCATTATGTTGACGTTACTCGACCCAATTTATAATCTACACTCGGATTATCTATGCTAATCTGTGATATAGATACAGATTATATTATCTGTCGTAGACCTAATTTATGCCCATTAATCCGACACTGGACAATTATAATTACGCTAGTACCTGCGAAATTGCGACGTTCAATACTTGTACTTAATAGAGCACGTGTTGAATGTTTGTTATCGGTGGTTCCATCACCGGAGAGTTAGTAGGAAATGTTGACAAGTTGATTTTTTTGTGTCGTCCAGATTAGAATTTGAGACGTTTGGAGTGTGAATAAGGGTAGTTAACTAGTGGGCTACAAAGCTCTTTGAACATATATAACTTATAAACTTAAGAATCTTAATATGTACATATATAATGCGTTAGTCTCTACAATGATTTATTATTTCCTTCATTTATTATATATATATTTGCTTTGTTCACTAGTATGAAAGTTTTGAACCGACTTCAAAACAATTCTCGATTAAATTGTATTAACATCAAACCCATAACATAAAAATATTTACTAAAAGAAGCAAATTCGCAAGAATCTAAAGCCTTAAAACATAAAGAGAAAAAAATAACAATGTGAAAACTATGAAAGAACTGTGCTCTATAAGTGGAATTTTAAAGTAAGGCATTTTGGTCCCTATGAGTTTTGGATTACGGATCACAAACATCAGCAAGAATGAAGGACAAAACGGAAAAGACGGAGAAACCCGACAGGAGGAGATCGAGCATATTCTCTCTATTGAAATTTCAAAAAAAATTAACCAGACAGTTTTCGGAGCCCTCTCAAGTTGGGCCACTGCGGTTGGATAGGAAATATTCGGCCGACTCCTTAATTTCAACGGATATAACCACGAATGGAGTATGGAAGAATGGCGTTATTCTAAATGATGCCTTATCTGTTAGTGACGAAGGTTTGTTTTCGAGACATGAAGTTTAGTTTGATTTTAATTAAAAAAATATAAGGACGAAAATCCCGGAAGAAGGATGGTGTTTAGTTTTCTCTCTCTTAGGACTACTTTAAGACATCTGCACTGCTAAATTCAACTACCTTGACGTTCTCGATGGTCCAGGGGAGAGCACGCCTAAACCATCGAATAAAAGTCAAGTGTAAAGTCACTTAAAGAGTCTGATACGGAGCTCGAGTCCGTCTGATAAATGCACTCAATTTGCCAGAAAAAAGATTCAAAAGTTTTATAAAATATTCAGTTAAAAGCTTATTATAAAATTTAAGAATTTATAAATGATAATTGTTTTTTTGTAGAAAATATCTAACTTAAAATTCATAGCGCTGACAATGTTATCTGATTGAACAGAGGTTAAGTGCGTAGCGGTTGCTATGTTGATTGTCGCATGCCTAATCCTTGTTAATGTAAATCTATTTAAAACAACATTTATAAAAGAGCAACACACAAGTTTCTTGCTCATTCTTTATGAGTCTGCGTTCCGAATGAGGGGTAGAATAAAAAAATGTGACTGTTCAAAAGTGCTGATATTAAGTTTATTTGAATAAAGATTATTTCTATTTCTATTTCTATTAAATAGGGCAAAACTTCAGTTTCAAAGTGGCGTATTTTGACTTATTATACAATGTTCGTACGGAGACAGAGTCCGCCCATTTTTGATTTATGCCGTGATTCATATGGTAACTTTCTTATGCTTATAGGAAGCTAGTTTGTCTGATAAATATAGCAATTTTTAAAAGTAATTTTGATTTTCACTTAGTTTGTAATGTTTGTACGCAGCTAGAGTGGGGAATCTACATAACATATATTACATAGCTCTATCATAAATAGAAAAATATAAACGAGCATAGTTTTGTCTCTGTCTTTCAAACTGGAATTTAGTTCGTTAGAAAAGGACAAAACAGTGGAATCGCTGAAGTATATAAAGTAAAGCTATTTTGACTGTTTAGTAGTAGATGCTAGTAGAGTTTCTGCTCATATTACACCTCCCCTCTTCACCACTCCAGAGTTAGCAGGCGCGGCGTCTGATACCGACAGCGAGGGTTCCAGGGTTGGGCTGCAGGAGCAGACGGCAGACATGGCGAGCAGGAAGCATGATATCCTATCAAGGATCGAGAGGGTCTACGTGGAGGATCCAGACAGGGAGATTGGTGTGGTGAGTAACTGTACCTTACCCTGGCTACATATTTGAGGGTCACCGTGGCCTAGCGGTTGAGCAGAATACCTTACTTCCAATGGTTGCGGGTTCGATTCCTCTCATGATGCAAATATTTGTTTGATTGTATTGATCTGAGTGTTTTCTATGTATATTCTGTAGGTAAAAAAAATTATTTATATATATATATGCCGGATATCCGCCACACGCCACGTGCTTGGCCGAATATCCGGTATCCGACCAAACCGCTATCCGTTTCATCTCTAATATATATATATATATTACTTAAAATATCTTTATTTGAATCCGCGACCATCAGAAGTAAAGCGGTGTGCTAAACCGGTAGTCTCCTCTTCCGGTGGTGGCGCCGATGGTCCAGACACCGAGGCCATCAAATCAGTACTATGTCGTACCTCATTATATATTTTTTTAATCTTTTACAGGCTGGAGAATTGGTAGAGGAGGTGGCAGAAGAGAATAAGTCTCTGCTTTGGTTCCTATTGAAGCAGGTCCGTCCCGGCATGGACCTCAGCAAAGTGGTGCTGCCCACCTTCATATTGGAGCCGAGGTCGTTCCTCGACAAGCTATCTGATAATTATTACCACGCGGATTTACTAGGACAGTAAGTTTGTTTTTTTCTTATTAAATTGTATGCATAGTCTCTAATACCTGGGGTCTTTAAAATGGGTATATTAAGGTTTCTTAAGGGTCGGCAACGCGCACGTGATACCCCTGGTGTTTCAGACGTCCATAGGCTACAGTAATCGTTTACTATCGATGGGCTGTATGCTTGATTGCCACCATCGTAGTACGCCCGGGTCTCCACCAACATGCTGCCCACCTTCATGGAGGAGGACTACTGGCCGAAGGGTGTGGTGTACCGGCGCTACCGTGGCAGATTGCCGCCGTCAGTGCCGTGATCACACAGACAATTTCAATATCTTCTTATATATAAAATTCTCGTGTCACAGTTTTCGTTCCCATATTCCTCCGAAACTTACCGATTCTCATGAAATTTTATGAGCGTATTGAGTAGGTCTGAGAATCGGCCAACATCTATTTTTCATCCCCCTAAATGTTAGGGGTAGTCCACCCCTAATTTTTTTTTATTGTAAGGCAAAACAACGTTTGCCGAGACTGCTAGTAATTCTATATTATTTTATATGTATTTTAGTCTATAAAATATTTATAATATGGGCCTAGTAGCCTGAAATAGATAAATAAATAAAAATAAAAAATATACCTCTCAGATAGGGCCTGGGGCCGTATTATGAACTCTTATTCCCATTCAGTTTACGGCTTAAACTGAACTGCCTGGCAATTTCGTATTACGAACGCTATTAGCCAGCCAGTCAGCGGTCACGTGACAGCTGAACGTCTTCTGCCCGAAAACTGACCGGCTATTTCGTATTATGAGCGTTTCATTTGACAGATCTAAGCGGACGCAACTGTCAAAAAGACCGTTTAAAAACAATTCAGTTTACGGTGGCTTCATATTAGCTTTTATAGAATTGTTTTCTAATTTATAGCTTCATTATTGTAATTTGGTTATTATTTCTATTTCTATGTCAGTTTTTATTATGTTTAAAACATGTTTGTGCAGTTATTTCGATTGTTTTTGTTTCGTTTTAATTTTAATTGTGTGATGAACTCGAAGTATTGGAGTTTTTGGAAATGTGTGCACCCTACGAAAAAGAAGGAAGGAAAGTGAAAAGACGGCGATTACGCGACCAATCCAATCCAATTGATATAGACAATGAACAATTTATAAAACGTTATAATCTCAATAAAGATTTGGTGCGTAATATGCGTGTGAACTCATATGCCGGTATCATCGAAATTTACAGACCTACCAGTGGAAACTAAGGTATATATATAACTTTACTAAAATGTATTGTAATTATTTCACTAAATCAGTAGCTGACTATGTCAGATTTTAGTAGCATTATTATTTATGCTACAGGCATATTTATCAACGGCCTACTAGTGATATTGCTGTCCATTCGCTAGCACAGCCAATGGCAAATAACCGATTTATTGCATTTACCCAACATCCAAAAGTAAATACATATATAAAATTCCAAGGACATCTGAGTAAAGGATAGATAATAAATATTCAAAGGTGTCTATTTCTATACAATTAGCAACTGTTATTGTTGCAAATACATCTATGAGTACCATGTACCATACCATATGATATAGTGATAATATATATGGTAAAATGTATGCATACAAGTAAAGCCAACAGTCTGATGATGTGCAGTCTCTCCGGCAATTTCCTCCGAGGACAATTAATTAAATTAAATTAATTATATTTTAGGTTTTATAATTGGAATTTGGAATGCTGGGTGTATTGGGCTGTATTTGACTGTACACATGCCACCCAATTGTAAATTAAGAAGAGATATTGCTGTAGAAAACAATACCATTCATTAAATATATAATTGGTAAGTGAAATATAAATTAAAAGACATGTTTAATAATATAAGCACTTTTAATATCTTTTTTTAATATAATTATATAAATTAACAATAAACAAGATTTTAGACATGCAAAATATGTTAATGATTATACATCTCTAAAGCTACTAATATACTCACAATAAATTGTTTACTTAAATATTAAATGACCATAACACTTAGACATATGTTTCAAATAATCTGTATCCATGTAATTAATCTCATATGTTTCAAATAATATTTATCCATTAATTATTCTGTTATGTTTCAAATAATCTTCATCTATGTAATTAATCTGGAAAAAAAATTTAGGTTAGTAATGCTGACATGGAGATTATAAGTGTGGATGCCAACTGGAACTGGAGCTACTCATGACATTTGGGCAAACCAGAGGCACTAAGCAACATCTAGAGGACTTAAGCTGGAATAAATCCTTATGATTACTTGGTAAGCACAAAATTTTATTATGAAACTACAAACATCATTACATCTAAGCTGTAAACTTCAGTAATTTAGAAACATAGTTATTTATCAGCACCAACAGTTATTGTGCTGTGTTTTTAATGAAATAATACTTTTTGTAAATAAATATTAATATTATAGTATATATGTTGTTTTTTTTTAGGAGAACCAGGATATGCTTTAGAGAAGTATACTCCCATCTCAAATGCTATACCAGGACCACAAGAAGCATATTACACTGGAAGAACATGGAATATCATTGAGAGCACAATTGGGCTTCTAGATTTAGATGCCTACATGTACTTTGAGCTCTTATAGAGAACTAAATGAAGGTCTAGCTGCTAGACAAACCCATGTTGTTTAGTTGTGGAACTAAGAAATTGAAACATTTATAAATAATAATATTGTTAATAGGCCAATGTTTTAATTATTTGTTTTTATAATAAATGATATAGCTACATAATTTATGTCTTTTATTGGTAGTTATAATTAAAGGGATATGATAATTTTATTATATACTAGTTATTACCTATGATTTTGTCCATATGGCATACCTAGTTTTTGTTAAAATAAATATCTCAAATAAAAGTAACTTAAGTTACTCCTTTACACAACTCATTACATATGACAGTGAAAGTATCCCTCAAATTTGGTCCAGCTGTTTCAAAGATTAGCATGAACAAACAAACGAACAGACAAATATATTTTTTTTAATGTCATTTATCTTACCTTATATATGTATGAATTTAATGAAAAGCTGTTGTATGGTGAACTTCAAAATAACAAACAGATACTTCAATTTATTTGCATAGATACATGTATTTCAGATTTTACTGAGATTCCTATTAAATGAAATAAATTAAAATTCAGATGGTTACCTTATAACACTTAAACTTGACAATCCTTTCCAGTCTTTAAAACCCCCTTTTCCTAAAGAGTTTAATTGTTGAGCGACGTCCTCACACAAGCGATTGGTATGGTATTCTCGGGCGGACTTATTAAAGCCACTTGATATTTCCCTATGGGATTTTAAAAATCCCATATAATTTCAAATTACCGGTACGATACACGACGTTGGCGAGAGGTTTCAGTCCGTGATCTACAATTTAGTTAGATAAATGTACAAATATTTGCATCATTTTAAAAAAAAACATTACTAAGAAAATGTTAGGAATACTTACGTTACATTAGGTATATTTTTCACAATAATTGAATTATTAAATTTAACTTGCGTATAAAGTTATGGAAAGACTAAGTTTCAAATTGTACATTAAAATCAGAATTAAGTACTTTGCGCGTAATTTTAAGTAGTAGATGCACAAAGTTCGTTTGGATATTACAATGAAAATATTTTTTACAAATAAATCCGAATTATTAAAAAAGGCAATAAAACTGTCTGGAATATTTTTGTATATTACACAAATTCTACCATTGTATCTTATTTACTGTTTTCTATATTTAATTTACATTTATTTAATTAATATTTTGTCCAAAAAGTGATATACAAAAACTCGACTTAACGCTGCAACGAATGTATGCGTATCCGAACGCAGCGCGAGAAAATCCACTAACCAGCCAGAGACAAACTATCCAGGCAGAATACGGTTTGAATTTGGACCCTCATAATACGAAAAAGAACAATTCAGTTTAAGGCCGTAAACTGAACTGCCTGGAAACTGACTGGATTTTAAAGAGTTCATAATACGCCCCCTGTTGTATAGGCCAGAATCAATACTGCAGCAAAGTTTATAATAATAGTCTGCAGTATGCAGGGTCTATATTAATTTATGTATCATCATTACATAGTATAAAATAAAGTCGCTGTCGCTGTCTGTCTCTATGTATGCTTAATTCTTTAAAACTACACAACGGATTTTGTCGCAGGTTTTTTAAAATAAATATAGTGATTCAAGAGGAAGGTTTATTTGTATAATACATGTACACCCGTGCGAAACCCGGGCGAGTAGTTAGTCAATTATAAATATCTTTATTTATTTATTTACAAACGTTGTCCTGATTTGCTTGTCCGTGCATTCGGGTTCTTCATTTTGAGTAGTAGTTCGTGTATGAGTGTATTTTTTTTTTAGTAGCGACAACGCAATAGTTAAAATCTTCATATATGAGTGTCATTTCCATCTGGAATGTCCAATTGCCGTAATTTGCCATCCCGATAAATTATCCATAGATAAAGTTGTAATTTTGAAGAGGATTTGTGTGTATAAATCGTAGTTTTTACCTCTCTGTTATATACCATGTTAGAGAAACAAGCTAGACAGAGCCGTCATTCACCTATTAGAGGCCCTGGTCACGTTAGGATAATAGAGCCCCTATGACCATAGTAATAAAGCACTATTTTGTTAGAATACACGAAAGTCATATTTGAACATGACTTTTTAGAGATATGTAGAAGGCCTATGTTTACAACAAACCAGACAAACAAATTTTAAAAAGTCGTTATGTGAGGGTTTCAAGTTCTTACTAGACATTTATATTAAAAAAATGTCAAAAACGAACAAATTGACCATAGTCAGTGCATTTGTTAAGACTGATTTTCAGGCGAGAGTAGAGTATCTATCGGATATGTAGTAGCTATGGTAATGGAGTGGAGACTAGACTAGGGCGCCTCAATCCATCGCGGGGCCCTGAGCACGTGCCCAGTAAGCTCAGCGGGGAAGGGAGGCCTGAAGCTAGACGGTCTCTCTCTCTCTCTCTCTCTCTCTCTCCTCCCAGCTATGTATCCCACATGGTGGTGAGGTCAGCTTTCCTTGTTTTTCTTCGCCACTTTTCCCTGTCGCAGACATCGCCTTCAGAAACCTTGCACTCCACCATATCTCCAGCAATTACCTCTTCCCACTCCCTCCTTGGTCTGCCTCTGCCTCTTTTACCCGGGATGGAAAGCTGTAGCGCCAGATTGCCAGCGTAGTCAGGTGGTCTTCGTTTCACGTGCGCATCCTGCAGCCTGCTTTCCTGCATTTTTCGGCAATGTCGCGAACAGCCAGACTTCCTCGTACTCGTGAAGCTAGACGGTGTAAAGATGTAAATTTTATTCTCCTGCAAACAACCGTTACTAAGTAACAAATAATTTTCTTTTTCTGTATATGAGATTACAAACTTCAATAGCATTGTACACATAGAATTACACAGACAATAGATATAGATGTACAAAAGGCGGACTATCGCCAGCAAACAATCTTTTACAGACAATCTTTAGGTAGGGAAAAACAACAAAAGTTGTTGGTGGCGCATGAATAGCTTAAAAGAATATATTCGTCTAAGCTATATAGGTAATAATAAAGCAAGAAAAACATTTCTCTGTGAATATAAAGGAATGCAATAAATATTGAGTATTACCTCTGCAGTCGCAGATGAAGGGTAAGAGGGGTAATGAGCCCCTGCGATGCTGACAATAGACGTGAGGGATATACTGGATTTTTTTAACCCCTAGTCTCCCCTATTTCAGCCATAGCAGCTTGCTTTATAAGTTACTAGCTATCCACCCCGACTTCGCACGGACAATTCACACAGAGCCATCTAGACCAAAGTTAATCTAGCTAAAGCTTGTTTTTGGGTACTATATAACTGATACAAATACATTGTTTTTTTTCGTAATTACATATATATTATACATAGTAAACACCTTGACTGGTTCAAATTATCATGCTCACGAATACAAATGTTTGTGTCGTGCGAGGAATCAAACCCGCGACCATTGGAAGTAAGGCAGTGTCTTAAACCGCTAGATCATTGACACCGTCGAATATTTGTTGTAATCAGTTGAAAAAGATGTCGTTATTTTTTTCCAGAGCCCAAAATATAGAAGACCCGTACCAAAGGTTTAAATGCGTGCTGAGGTGGTACCTCTCGGGGTTGTACCGGAAGCCGAAGGGGTTGAAGAAGCCGTACAACCCGGTGCTGGGGGAAACCTTCAGGTGCTGCTGGAAACATCGCAACACTGACACTTATACGTATTATATAGCAGAACAGGTAAGAAAACCATAGAACATAAAACTCATAAAAGTAATTGAGGAATGACATATGATTGAATGGTGAATTTTGAAACAAAATCTATACATATAAATAAAATTGTATGTATCTAAAGTAAAGGTGTATCTATATGTTGAAATAACCATTTTTACTACATATACATATAAATATAAATACGGTACACACACCAAAATAATATTTTATACAATTTTTGTCTGTTTGTTTGTTTGTTCCGCTTTGCTTTTGCTTATTTGGATGACATGCGGAGTGGGGAGTCTAGATCATGATTACGTCATCGATATTTATTTACTTTTATACACGAATGGCAACCCTCACATTGTCTTTGCTAAAAAAACAATACATTAATTGTTTATATATTCTTTTTTACCCCTTTGAGCGCCTAAGACCCCTATATATTGATTTTTACCCCTAAGAGCTTTGCATACTTTTGCTGAAAAGAAGGATTGTAAATAATTGTAACAAATCTGCTTACTTAATACTTGAACGGCCCTTTACCATGAAATTCAAAATTGATAATTCTTTATTTAGGTAACACAATTTTTACTAAATTCTATATAACTGTTGAAGCCTCCATTTAAACCTGAAAAAGGAGGGTCCCCCATCAGGTGGACCATTACAATTCTGATTCATCACCATCACCATCAGCTTGTGTCTGTCCACTGTTGGACATAGACTTCCACCATGTGCTCTCTTTCGCCTTCCGCATCCATCCACTCCCGGCCACCTTTATAATGTCATCGGTCCGTCTTGCAGGAGGGCGACCGACACTCTGTCGACCCATACCACAATTCTAATTACATGAGATTAAAAAAATATGTGTTTCACTTGTTGCCAGGTCTCTCACCATCCGCCTGTCTCAGCCTTCTATGTCTCCAACAGAAAGGACGGTTATGTTATAGAAGGGAGCCTACTAGCTAGATCTAAGTTTTATGGTAAGTATCCAATAAGTTAAAAAAAGTACAACTTTAAATTTGACCATTTTAGTCCGATCCATTTATACTTTGTGTTCACCACACTCGCTATGGCGTCGGTACACTCCCTTCAGTTATTAGTCTTCATTAAGGTTCTATAATAAACCAAGTGAAACAGAGAGTGCTGCTTTCGTCTCTCTTTATTCTATATTCCAATATTCGGATGAATTTTGGAAGAAGGTTTAGGTTACATACACTAAATATTTTCATTGTTTTGTACTTACTGTCCTATGTTTATGTATGCGCAATAAAGAGTTATTATTATTATTATTAAATATTCAAAACCGTCTAATGAAATATATGAAATAAATATTCTTAATGTATCATATTCGCGGCAGGTAATTCAACGTCGGCCATATTGGAGGGTTGTGCGAGGGTGCACTTGCTGAGTTGGGGTGAGACGTACGTCACCACCGCGCCCTACGCGCACTGCAAGGGCATCGTCATAGGGACACTCAGCATGGAGCTCGGGGGGAAGGTATGTCATTACACATAATACTGTAAATTTTTTTTATACTATAATGGTGGCAAACAACCATACGGCCTATCTGATGATAAACATCAGGGGTGTCACGTGCGAGTTGTCGACCATTAAGAAACCTTAATATAATCTTCTTGAAAAACCACATACTGTACTCTCTCAAGAAAACTTCGGCAGGTAGTTCATTCCACAATGTAAGTGTACGCGGGAGGAAGCTCCTCTGAAACTGCACTGTCCGAGACCACTTAGGTTCCATGTTTCGGTTTTTTTTTAGTGGATGATAATGGAATGGTGCACCCGCCTGCGCTAACGGTCTACGCTGGCGGGGCACCAGTGGAGGATGATAAGATGAACATGAAGTCAGATCAGTTAGCCTAACGTGACAAATTTACCGGGAATTTATCACGATGGTTTCTAGGGGGAACCGCGTGGAGGTCGACCTGACATGGTACATTGCTATGCTAGCAATGGGATCATTAGTCCACAATACTAACAATCCCCTCTCCTCATTTTTCGGTTAGGTTAGATTAGGTTAGATTAGGTTTAGATTCAATTGGAATAACATGAAACTGCACTCTCCTAGGTTCTTAGGTTCCACTTTACGTTGAAATTCGATTGTATTGGCAAATAAGGAGTAAGTTTTGGAAATAAGAGAAAGCAGCAGTAGATTAAATGTTAAAATATATTAAAATGATAAAGTTTACACGTTGACATAAGAAAATTCCTGAGATATTAAAAGTGACATTCTATACAAATGTACAAACAATTAATTCCTGATGGCCAGCATTATACTTTGAACAGTAAGGAACGGAGAAATAGTGGAGTTAAGACGGTGTCTTAACCGCTAGACCACCGAGACCGTATCATCATTGTTGTCGATGGCAGCCTTTTTGATAGTTTTTATGTTTTTTATATATTTTTAAATTTTATATTTTAACGTTCTGTTTTTATATACCGTTTGTTTTCTTATGCCATATTGATTGTCTTTACCTTTTCATACTGCTTTCTTGATATATGATAGCGTAGCGGCTTTTGTATTGATTGCTGCATGCATCCTCATGTAAAGTTCGAATACTGTAACTACCATATATGTAGTAATTTTTGTAGCTGTGACGTGGTCGAGTGGAATGAGTAGTCATGCTCACTAAAATGTCCAGACATGTGGCGGCGTGGTGGGCCGGATCATTGGGCTCCCTAAAATATGGTCGAGCGCAGTGATGGCTGGCTCATCCGTCATACTCGTGAACGAGTGCTGCTTGTAGGGACTGGTCTGCTCTTATCACTACTACTGATTTAATCTTATTGTGTTTTTATATTTGAGCCTAAATAAATTAGTGCTGGCTGGTATATTGTATTCACACGTTTCAACTTGTAAAATGTGAACTTACAAGGATTGTTTAAAAGAGCAACACACAAATTTCTTGCTTATTCTTCTTGTGATGAGACAGCTTTCCGAATAAGCGGTAGATTTAAAAAAAAATTTGACTATTCAAAAGTACTTAAATTAAGTTTATTTTAATAAATGATTTTCTATTCTATTCTATTCTTTTTTGATAGTGAGCTGATTACACATATTTTACCAGATCAAGGAACGTGTCTCATTTTAAACCAGCCTTACTACAGTCCTTCCGTAACAATAATTATTATAATTACATAAAAAATATAGTTGTGTACTACAGTTTGTTTATAATATAGGTTTACTACATTTACAATAAGTCTTATGTTATATTTTTCTAGGTACACATATTATGTTCGGATACGGGATACCATGCTGATATAGAATTTAAGTTAAGGGTAAGTTTTGTATTTTATTTGTAGATAACTAGCGACACGCCCTGACTATTCACGGGTGTACATGTATTACAGATAAAGCTTCCTCTTGAATCACTCTATGCTAAAAACTGTATTGAAATCGGTTACGTAGTTTCAAAGATCTAAGCGAACAGACACCGGACGCGACTTTCTTTTTATACTATTTTTTATACTATGTAAAGATTGTTGGTTGGAAAGTGATAGACTGCATATAGCTGAACTGGTCTGTTCAGGTTACGAACGCTGATTGAACTATTTGCTATTGCAATAGCATATGCTGGTGGTCACTCTGTTCTCCCAAATTTATAATTAAAAATGAATCTGTATTATTGTAAACATGTAAAACATTTATTTGAAAAGAATACGAGCTGAGTTTTATATCAGTTCTCATCTCGAAATCATTGCAAACTGACGGTAGATTTAATATATCATAAGAGTCTGTAATAGACCTACATGGATAAAGATATTTTGAATTTGTCTTTTTTCTAGTCGTTCCTGGGCAGCGCTGAGCAGACAAATGCAATATCCGGACGAATCAAGAAAGGGAAGGACACAGTTGCCACAATAGAAGGTTATTGGGACGGGAAAATAGACATAAAAGACAAGAAAACTGGGGTAAGACATGTTTTCTTATATACTATATATATATATATACTAAAACGTTATTGTTGTCTATCACAATTATTTATTAGACACTAACTCTGGATTTCACCAATCGTAGTATAAACATGTTCAAGGAAACGGAGTTCAGCGTAAACTCGAAAAAAAGAACGACGTTGATCTCGTTTTACTGTAAATGGAATTCACCAGCGTTGTACAGATCGCGTTTATCAAAATGAAGTTTAGATTTTCATTCGTTCACATTGTTACACGCTCATAAAATAATAGTTGATGCAATGGGTATTATTTTAAGATACATGTATTTGCAATTCAGTCCTGTGATCATTAGGACAAGTTTTTTTAATTTAATAAGTTCTGTTGACTACAAAATATATAGCAACAACCTTTACCTATAAACAAGGTAAAACATTATTTTATTAAAGATTTTTTTACACTACTTACAATTATTTTTATTCCTGATATTATATTGTCAAAAATTTGATTGACGACTATTTGACAACAGACAGCTGCTTTAACCACGTTTAAAAGTTAACCGTAGGAAATAAGGCGTTCAGAATTTGTAATGACCTTAGCGCAATCTAGTTCAGATTGTAGCAGTGAAATGCAAAATGAAGCTTTGAACTCGTTTAAACGTTTTAATAGCGACATCTAATACCCTAATACTTGTGTTATGGGTATTAGATAACGCTGTGTGAATTCTCTTTGGTTATTATTAATTTTTCTATGATTTTACCATTACAGGAGGAAAGCAACCTTCTAGACGTGGCCTTACTGAAGGACCAGCGATTGCCGCGGTACCTGATGACCCTGGACCATCAGCAAGAGTATGAATCGCAGCGGCTCTGGCTGAAGGTGTCTGAAGCCATCGGAAATGATGATCAGGTCAGAGAGACTAAATAATTATCAATACTAATGGCGCTCTAGGTGGTGTAGTGGATCAATACTATCTTATCCGATGCTCATTGGTTTGATTCCTCGCAAAATGCAAACGTTTATTATTGAGCATGAGTGTTTGTATTGATTTGGGTGTTTTATATGTATATTATGTATACATTTACAAAACAATATGAAATAATAATATTTCTGTTCAATTTACACAGCGCCATCTAGTCCCAAGCTAAGCAGAACTTGTGTTATGGGTACTAGACAACTGATATACATGTACACATAGATATGTTTTTGTGAATATATACATAATGTACGAGTATGTATACATAATATATATTTAAGTATTGAGCACGTATGACGTTATATTTAAGTATACTATGGGTCAGTTGAAGATGGTGCTTTATATATATATACTGTATATAGCTAACTTACCACCAATTGGTCGGTCAGTTTGTTTGTCATTCTATTTAATTAAAGAAAAATCCTGTTTCTCTTCCAGGTGGCTGCAACAGAAGAGAAGACAATAATAGAGGAGGCTCAGAGAGCTCGCGCCAGGAACCTGGTGGCTCCATGGGTGCCCAGATTCTTCCACAAGGACCTCCACGCGCAGACCCTTGATGGTGGGTAAAGTATTCCGTTACCTGGCTTTATATAGAATACAGAAGAAACTCGTCTGCGTGTATCAGTCTCACGTAATTCAGCCGCAAAGCAGCTTGCTTTGTAAGCTGTTTCGCTTGTAGGGTGCAGATTAGGCAGTGATGTTACAGGGTAAGAGGTAGGATATATTAGTCTTCTGGAATGTTAACACACGGGTTATGGTGCTTGTAGTCCTTGCTTCATCATCTCAGCCCGGAAGACTTCCACTGCTGAACAAAGGCCTCCCTCCAAAGATCTCCACGGTGATCGGTCCTGCGCTGCTCGCATCCAATGCCATCCAGCGATCTTGACCAGATCGTCGGTCCACGTTGCTGGAGGCCTTCCCACGCTGCGTCTTCCGGTCCGTGGTCGCCACTCGAGGACTTTACTGCCCCAGCGGCCATCTGTCCTACGAGCTATGTGCCCTGCCCATTGCCATTTCAGTTTTGCAATTCTTCGGGCTATGCCGGCCTTGATTACTATTTGCGTATTTATACCTGAATTTCCTTTTGTTCTCATCCAATATGTAGTATTTTTATATAATACTAGCTACTCGCCCCGGCTTCGCACGCGTGTACATGTATTATACATATAAACATTCCTCTTGAATCACTCTATCTATTAATCGCACGGATGTACATGTATTATACATATAAACCTACCTCTTGAATCTGTTTAAAAAACCGTGTCAAAATACGTTGCGTTGTTTTAAAGATTTAAGCATATATAGGGACGGACAGACAGAGACAGCGACTTTGTTTTATATTATGTAATGATGTATTAGTGTGTAAATCTATTTATCATTACATAGTATAAAATAAAGTCGCTGTCGTTGTCTGTTCGTCTCTATGTATGCTTAAATCTTTAAAACGGGGCAATGGATTTTGAAACCGTTTTGTTTAATAGATAGAATGATTCAAGAGGAAGGTTTATATATATAATACACGTACACCCGGGCGAAGGCGAGTACCTAGTTTAAGTATATAAAACGTAGGTTTTTATGTAAGTGTATATGAGATATAGTGTCTAGTGTGCGCCTCCTGCCTTCTCTCTATATAAATACTCTCTACCTATACTAGGTTGTCTGTAACGGATTCCTAACAGCGATAAGACCGCCTTTTGCCTGTGTTATTAATTTTATTTTGTAAAATACTTCGTACTTACTACACACTTATTACACAATGTACTTAATTTTTCTTTATCTGTGCGCAATATAGAGTTATTATTATCTATTATATTATTATAATCTTATTTTCAAATTAGAATATCATTTTGTTACAGGTATTGTCGATCAAGGGTGGAAATATAACCACTTAAATACAACGTGAGTATTTTTATTACTATTTATGTGCAAACTAGAAATAAAAAAAAACTTAAAAATATATTAGGTAGCGCATAGTGCCAAGTGGTTTATCACCCTGAATCCTAATTCGGAGCGGTAAGACTCCCAAGAGATCGTGAGTTCAAATATAATTGATACCAAAAATACTGTGTTAATTGATATTAGATAGATTGCATAAGCAATATGGCCGCCTTTTGTACCCTCTTAATTTTAATTACTCTATTAATTTTATTAACGTAATTTTCCTAGTTCAATAAAGATTATATAAATAAATACATATAAATATTTTTGACTCTCCGGTGAAGGGAGCAATATCAAACAAAAAATTTGTGTGTGGTATACACCATACTGTTATACACGTTTTTATACTACGTAAGTGGGTAACAAGCATACGGCTCATCTGATGGTAAACGGTTACTTAGCCTATAGACGCTAGAAAGATTAAGTCACATGCGTGTTGCCGACTCTTAAGCTATTTTAGAATTATTATTTATTAGCTGTGCCCGAGATTTCAACCGCGTGAAATTTATAGCCTGTGTTATTCTGATGTATAATCTATATTATTGTAAAGTTTCATCAAAATTCATTCAGCAGTTTTTGTGTAAAGAGTAACAAACATCCATACTCACAAACTTTCGCGTTTTAAATATTAGTAATTAATTTTAAATCTGTATTTTTGTGAACATGTACAAGCTCATTTTATAACATTTGACAACAATAAGAGCTGAGTTTCTTGTCAGTTCTTCTCAGCTTGAAAGCACTCCGAATTGACGGTAGATTTGACATATCATAAGAATCTGTAATAGACCTACATGAATAAAGATATTTTGATTTGATTTCTATACATACTTTCTCGTTGACAGTCCGTGGCAACTGGACGAGGTGGTGGAGTACGAGGAGGAGTTCGTGATCGGCAGCCTCCCGGGGGGCGGCGCGGGACACGTGTCGCCCCCCGCGCGCCCCCCCCGGCCCCCCTCCGACTCGGACAGCCACGACGGAGCCGCCCCCCGGGCGAAGGCTTCCACGTAAGTAAAACTAATAAAAAAAGCTTCCACGTCTTTGGCATAGTTTACTGTTAGATATCTTTACACGACACGGATCTTCACGTGATTAGGCGCCGTTCGAAATGGAAAAAGCAACGCGTCCAATCAATTGTGAATGATTTTCTTATTGTTTTTTTCAAACTCACAATGTTAACTTTTCTTCTTCTTATGATATAACATGTTGTGGTTTCAAACACAACATGTTATATCATAAGATTATTGTTAATCAGATGGCACTCCAAACCAACGGAAGGACTTATGGAGCGGCTAAAGGCCAACTCTCGCCTGACGGATATGACTTTTGTCTGAGGGCACCTCTAGGGGTTCGATCCTCGACTCAGGCCGTCGTAATTTCGAACTCCGTTTAAATTAGACGGAGACCAGAGGGGATCTCTAAAATAAGTAAACTTACTGCACACTCAGAATACAATTTCTGTTCGCAGACGCACAATAAAACAGACGCTGCACTCCATAGACACGGCTCTACGGGACCACACCACGGCCATAGAGCGTCTATCCAAAACGGTAGAAGCCATGGGCGAAACCCATCGCGCCGCCGCGTTCCGCGCCCAGGCCGTGGGCCGGGCCCCGGGCGCCGCCCACTACTGGGAACTCCTCGGCGGGTTCGTACTCGCTATTGTACTACAAGCGTTACTCAATTGGATATTCCATCAAAAAGACTGAACCTAAATCGCTGTGGCGTTCTCGGTGCCCACACCGCTATTCCGTGCGGATATTGCCGCGTTCAGTACCAGTTACGACCGGATTGAACCGGTCCGATCCGGTTATGTGTCTTATACGTGTGGTATTAGTGTTGTTAGTAATGTTCCCATGCGATATTTTTATTGTGGAATTGTATATATTGAATTGTAATTTTATTTTATTTTTTCTCTTTACTCTGTGGTATAGAGTGGTCCGTTTGTTTATGAATGGTTTGATAGATTATTTTTTAACTGTGTACGGGGTTTTAATAGATTTAAAGCTTTATTTTTCCAAAAAATACAAAGTTTACAATTACTTAGTAAAAATCACGGGATCTTACCACTACTACCACTATCGGGAACTAAATATAGCAAATAAATATAAAACGTGGTAAGATCCCGTGATTTTTACTAATTATACGTATAAATAATGACCGCGTAATCAAATGAAACAGTATATTTACAATTACTGTCCTGCAAAACTTCTGTCGAGGTTTGACTGCAGAATGGTGATGTACGAGGTAATGAACTGTGCTTTCGTCCTTCTTAACAATTATTACGACTTCATCTGAAGTTTTGAAATAGGGCTTTTAAGCCCAATTTACACTCAGCCCAAGTAAACAGGGAAGTGAGCAGCGCGAGAGTGTAAACACGATACTTCTCATGCCATTGGCGCTGCCATTCGCGCTGCCCGGCGCTACCTCGATTGTTGGTTTTTCGTGCGCGAGTCTAAGGACTGGCAGCGCGAGTGACAACGTGTGTTTACATTGCATTTTAAGCGGAAAGTAAGGAAGAGTCCCTATAAAAAAGTAAATAAGTATGAGGGCTAAATGTAAACGACAATCACTCGCGTCGACTCCTGTCGACGCTGACGCGTCAATATTTCCGGCAGCGCGAGTGGCAGGGGAAGTGGCTGAATGTAAACGTAACATTAGAAGAGATGTGGGAGTGAAATTACAGGGTAAGAGGCGTGACATCTTAGACCTCAGATAACGCTAGAGTCTTCTTCATTGTGAATATAGCGTGTTTATAAAGAATGGATACGATATTTTTAACATTCGTTGTATTCACATATTTCAACTTAAAAATGTAACAACAACAACTGTTTCTTGCTCATTCTTCTTGTGATGAGACATATTTCCGAATGAGCGGTAGATTGAAAAAAAATTATGACTATTCAAAAGTGTTTCCATGTAAGTTTATTTGAATACATTATTTTCTATTCTTATTTCGAGCTCGTATCAGTGCCGGTTCCGTCTTGTGGTTGGAGAAACTTGGAGAAGTTCTTTATCGATATATCTAAAGTTAATTATACATAGTTTAATGTATGGAAGTGTTAAATTCATACAGGATTGATATTATTCCGTATAAAATAAATACTTACTTAAATTATTGTCCCTAATAAAATTAGAATTACATTATTCTTATATGAGTAAACATATAGTGCTGAATACCGCCACGTGGAAAGAAAGATACTTTGAACAGAATTTGGAAGTGATAAGGTCCTTTTTCCAATGCACATCAACTATCACCTAGTAATTTCATTAAATTCCCGTACATAGATACAAAAATATTAATCTAAAAATGAATAAAAGTCCTTATTCGTTATATTTTGAATGTTAATAAATTTACATTATATTAGAAATTTTACATTCCCGAAATTCTATATATTTACTATGAAAATTCGCTTATCGCACCACGCAAAGCAGATTTGATAATTTCTACTTCTATCCACTTAGTTTTTGACATATAATAAAGAGACAAATATACTAGTCATGTGCTATAGTTATCGATAGTCGATACTTTTTTATCGAGAACGCCACGCAAATGTTTCTATTAATTATACATCGACCAATTTAGTTAATTATGAAGACACTTTTGTATTTGACGAATATAATTATGCCAATATCGATAAGTAATTGTGTATTGATAAGGAAATAAATTCACATCCCTAAACAGTTTATAAATACATGAAATATAGATGGTTATAGTTATACGATGAGTTATCAACATAAAATGAATTCGCTAATAAGTTGACAAGTATCAAATTAAAAACTATATTGAAATTTCAAAAAATTTTCATGCTTTCCTGGCTCCTGTCATTTTCAAATAATATATTGTATATTTGTAAGGAAACTCCATATTTTTTAGAGATTGGTGTAATTATTTTTGTCGAGTAAATTGAACTGACTGTATCAATATTATTTCAAATCGAAATTCAAGTTTAGAATTGAAACTTTATTCATGCATACGCTTTCCCTTAACAACAAGTATTGAGTTATGTACATCGTTCGAAAGAATCGTCAAAAAACAATTTAATTAAATTTTTGTCCGACTCGAAGGACTAAGAAATGTACTATTTAGTTTCTTGAAATGGTAATAAATGTTTTATTATTTCAAATATAAGAGAGAGAGTCGTATATCAGTTTTGTATTGAAATTAACGTAACGAAAATGCCAATTTTGTTCTTGCTCCTTTTTCTATTATTTGGCGTTCGAACTCTTCCGCTGACATGCATCAGGCTAGAAACAAACAGAAGACAAGACTTTTATATAAGTTTACATGTTACAAGACACTTGAGTCCTAAAATTATTACTACAATCGTAGTTAACTATGAATTACTAACAAGGATTCAATTATAAATTACAATTTGAAATATTATTGATGCACGATCAAACAATATATAATTTAATCGCAAGAGCTTTCTATGTTTTTGTATTTGTTAGAAATGTTAATGGTGTCTTTTTATTTCAAATTCTTGACGAGTTTTAACTGAATTTCGTCGCCCCTTGTACTTTTGACGAGTCTGAATTAAAGACTTTTAGTATTCGAGCGTTTGATAAGTGTCAGTTGAAGCGTAAGTTCAAGCTAATGATTGTTTTGTGTAGAGGTTTTAATATTAGTTACATATTTTTGTACTTTGCATGGTATCGTGTTCAAAGCAGGCGTGGTTTACTATCGAAGTTTTGTAGAGTTTGAGTTAATGGTTGGCACCAGTTCAAGCATTAGACTTTACTTTACTAAAGTCTAATGTTAGAGTTATTATTAACCGAATAAAATTTATGACGAGTTTTAAGTCAAATCGTCGAATTAAAACTCGTTGAAAATTTGAAGTCATGACTGTTGACGAGTTTGTGACAAATGCGTATTTTGAATTGATCTAAATTTGAAATCATTACACCATTAATGTTGTCTTACTGTACATATTTTACAGTTGTCCATATATTTTAGATGTTTAGTCTAAATTGAGCTTGTTTATTGTATATTGTAATGTGACTAGATTACTAAAATTATTGATTAATTATAAAAAAATACTATTTTGTATAGTTCTGACCTACATATGTAGTTGTAATTGTTGTAACTCCACTTTGTTAAATATTTTTACGTCCATTGCTAAAAAAACATATTTTTTTCACAAGAAGTTTGACATAATATACATAAAGCTCAACAGAGCGATTTGGATATATATTACTAAAGTAAAATATATTCCAAAAATATATGAATATTTCTGGAAAACTGGCACCTGTGTAGGTATCTCAATTTGTCAAAAATAACTATAATTTCCTTAGCGACCAACCACACACAATATAACAATAATTTTAGTAAATGAAATTCACACACACACACATTTTAATAGTAATACTATTAAAATGTGACCATATGTGACAAAGAGGAGGGGGGGATTAGTAAAACTTCGTATTTTAAATTAAACTTGATGTGACGTTACATGTTGATGTTGCCTATATATACAAATGACTGTCCACTTACCATTAGACGAGCCGTAACCTTGTACCGATTTCGTAAAGGTATAAACAAAGTGGAGTTACAGATTTACTTTATCTAAGTTCTTTATCGAGATATAAAAATTAATTGTATATAATATTAATGTATGGAAGTCATACATTCTTACAGGATATTGATATTATGAAGATTGCGTATAATATAAATGCTTATCTAAATTATTGTCTTCAATAAAATTAGAATTACATCACATTTTCATTATTCTTACATGAATATAAATATATACACAAAATACCATTACCACTGAAATCCCATATGGGATACTCAGTCATTGTCAACTGTACAACGTGGTCGTGGACGCAACACTTGACATGTCCACATTTCGCTCCGTATATATACAACGTAGCAAAGGTTAGCCTGTAACCTTCGGGTTTTGGTTTAACGGTGTTTCTATCACCGGAGAGTCAGAAATTTAAATTGACATATTTTTTTAGTTTTGATCAGTATTGAATTCATGACTTCTTGGGAGTATTTCAAGGTACCACTATTCAACGAAGCTAGCAAATTACACGAGTATATACTTTTACGGTACATAATAAAATACATAAATATTTATAATCCTGAAATTTATTATGTACAAAAACTTTTTCTTTTTTGTTCATATCGTTGGCAGGCAAAGTGACTAAATACATACAGCCATTTGTTACTCAATTTGAGTAGTCAAATTCAAATGTCAATGTCAAAATTTTAAATTAAATCTTGAATGAAAGGCCGTTCTAAATTTGTATATTTTGAAAATGAATGCTAATTAAAATGACATAAGGTTGAAATTTCCATAGTATAGAAGTAATGTGTTGGAGCCTTTATAGGTTGGCATCTTGGCGAAAGAATAAGGTCATTACTGTGAAAGTGGTGGTGGTCGTTTAAATTTTGGTCTTAATGTAATGCTATTAAAGTTGAGTTTCTAAGTCAACCGTGTGTTACAGTAATGAATGTCCAAATAAATATAATACATTAAATTTATTCCATTCCATACTAAAATATAGATCCAGAGTAATGAATTAATTAATTTGTTAATTATTATTTTATTATAAAAAACGGGTTTACTTACTGCAGTAAAAGTATATTCAGAACAATACAATAGAACAAATTAATTTTATTTAAGTTAAAAATATTGTTCTTTTCTGTTTTTTTAGCAAGAGGCTAGTGTTGCCATATATTTACATTTGTATAAGAAAAACAATATTACTTGTCGTTTTTTTACAATTGATAAATATATTTTTTTATTGCACTCAGTATTGAAATAATTTAAGAGATAATGTGGGCAAAGGTTGTTTTATATCTAGAAGTGATCTTTTCCAGTCAATCCAAAACAATGGCGGAGGTGATAATGTAGATATAGTATTAAATATACGTTTTAGTTTTCCCGCTAAGAAGTTACCACAAATATTTATATTTGTTTCTTTTTGGTTCTATTTATCCTTAACTAAAGATCAAAGGCACTGTGAACTTATAGCCATGTCTCTTTGTTTTCCGTATTGTTAATTTTTTTATACTTTTATGTTTAGAATTGTTGAAATAATATAGTCGTAAAAAATGTTCTTGA